CTGCTCACATCGCGCAGGCGCGGCCCCGCGTGTCTTCCGTGTTGTATGATGGCTCGACACGGGACTAAATGGGGAAATTCCCACGCTTTTTGACCGAACAAGTTGGCTTAGAGGTAAGTTTGTGTTCGATAGGTACCCGGTTCGGGTCTTGACCTGCACACTTGCTATCTTGTTTTCTCAGAACCTAAGGCCATGTACAACAAAGGGTATATACCTTAAATTATCTACATCCATGAGGGGGCTTGCAGTAGCGTAGTTGGTTGAGGCTCTGTGCTGCAAACCGGAGGGTCGCGGGATCGATTTCACATGAGGTAATTGGGTTTTTCAATTGACCTAATCCCTCCAGCCGCACTGCGGACCTGGGTTCGACTCAGCCTCTAACAGAAATGAGTACCAGGAATCTTCCTGTGGGTAAAGGGCGGCCCGCGCGTAAGGCTGACAACCTCACCGCCATTTGTGAGCCCATTGTCTAGAGAAAATATGGGAGCCTCGACGTCTCGCAACTCTATGGGCCTCCACGGTCTGTTACCCGGATAGCTTCACCGAACCATTTTTTGCCTGTCTACAGTCTACAGTCTACACTGGGTAACGTGAAGTGCTCATGGCGTCATTAAACAAATAACAAATACTGTCCTTATGATCATTCTAACATCTGCATACGAGCATCTTGGTTGCCTCGTTTTTGATGAAGTTTATAACCCCTAACGGCACAGTGGCTACTATATGTACCACCAATTTTAATACGAGTCACTGTAGTGACGGGTTACGGGTACAGGTGGGTACAGGTGGCAAGGCGGCCGGGGCGTGAAGAAAGCACTCAACTCTAACTAGTGTCGAGGTCAAGAATGCGTGGATCTATATATCCACACCTCTCATACGTCTTCATGGCGTAGTGCTTAATTAGTTAAGCATAGGAATGAATTTTTATACCTTTTTCTGCCTTTATTAATATGGAAGGATTTCTCTTAGCACTTCCGCCCCAGGCAGGTTCGTCTCTTCTAAGCTTCTGTTTGTACATCGAGTCACAGGACTCGAACAGGTGTATCGCACGTTTAAGCCGTAACGTAGCAACTAAATATGGAGGCCTCCCGCCTGCAGAAATAAACATTAGCGTCACTGCTCACTGAAATAATGGTCTTGTTTGTTGAGTTATCTGAGGGTGTTGCCAACCTTACAGGTTCGTTACTCAAGGGACCATGCCACACGGGAAGGCATTCACATGCTAAATTAGGTTTTTTTTTATTTTATTTTTACGTTGCCGGATCCTGTCTGCAGCCAGCGCGGTAGGTGGATGTTGACGAGGACGAATTCTTGCATACGTTTTTGTTGGTCATTCACCTTGGCGAGGCGGAACGAGGTCCTGAGGTGCAGGCGGGTCTGTAGAGATGGAACTGCTAGTTTCCGATTTCCCCTAAACACGCGAATTGTATGGATGAGGAAAGCGACTGACTGGCCGGGGTGTAGTTCCTTGGAAGGAACATGGATTCCCCCCAGTCATCGGGCGCAAGCTGCCTGCGGGCCAGCTCAAGGAGCGCCAGGGTAAGCAGCATAGAGCGTGAAGCTGGCCGCTTTTTCTTAAGAGACTCGAGTTGCCCATCCGTGTCGTCACAAATCTTATACTCTACACATTGGCGTCTTTGGTGACCCCGAAACGTCTCCTTGATAGCTATCTGCGTAATTCAGTGGAGCAGAGAGCTCAGTCAGATTCCACTTGCTGCCTTTTGTTGAACAGGAATGTTCGTTACAGTTTTCACAACAGCCCACTACTGTATCCAGTTCGCGCTGCAATTTGTTAGGCTTTTCACCCTTTGACATACCTAGACGAGTCTGAGTTGCCGGCCTCATGCTTTGTGGTAGCTACTTTACCGGCTGTGAAACGTCACAGGATGTGACAGTCAAATAGTTCGCTGATACAGCAACAGATGCAGTTAAACGTTGGATTTGAAGTTCTCACGGGAGTGACTGTGAAGAATGCGGTTCTGTGCTGTAACGCTGCATAGTTCCAGGAGTATCTGACGTTTCGGAGCAACAGGACTGTCCCATATCACGCGTGATGTTCCACGAACAGTTCTCCCTGCTTGTCATCTGCATCTTGTTGGTTGCTTGGATTATTCTTCGAGCCTGGGGATGGGAGTAATATATTCTTCCGAAACGTGGGTATTTTTCCGATCATAATTCAGAAGGCAAATATTTAAATATTTACCTGTGATACTTTTTATGCATTTTATTTGAAATCTGTGAATAAATTTCAAAAGTAAATAATGGTGGAGCTAGGCCTCCACTCCTCCATATGTTTTCATGGTGTGGTGCGTAATTAAACGGGCACAACTTTACCTTTGTTTCCTTACCTTAGTCAGTCTGTTAGTTTCGCCTTAGCAAATGCAACAAGGAAAGTTACACACGCCGCTGAAAGTAGATTTATGTTCTGTTGAGAAAGGTAGTTAGATAAAAATGTAAATGAGGGAGAAGCTGGCAGGGGGGACGATGGTAGGATCGGCGAATTGAAGAAATACGATACAAAGAAGGAAAGGAGATAAATATGCTGAACGTATAGAAGAAATGAAGAAAAAAGACGAAAAAGAATGTGTGAAGTTATAACAAAATGAAGAGTCTTTCCTTTGAATATTCAGCGGGAGTTACGTTAACGCAAGCGCATGCATCAGCGCATTCTTTGAATTCTATATACACCAAGCAAGCGTAAAGAGGCCTTTGTACTGAGAGTATAGAAGAAGCTTTCTGCTTTGAATTTCGAGCATTCACGAGTGTCCAGGCGGACAGTGCTGCCGCGAGCGGAATTCTGATGAACGTGCCGAGAGCGCTGACTTCACACTGCCCCTTGTATTTAGACTATACATTACACACCTGACAGCCCAAATTGCATAGCATTATGATAGGATCGTTGGGGGGGGGCAGTGAATAGGAAGGGATGTGGAAGGAAGAGGTCGTGGCCTGATTTGAGACACTGTTCCATTGCTTTTCTGGAGAACTTTAAGGCGAGCCACGAAAACGTCAGTCAGGATAGCGGGCATCCGTGTTGAGATTTGAACCCAGGACATCTGAAATGCAGAACAGGAGAGGCGAACTATTGGACAGCACGTCCCGAGACATGTGACGTTAGCGGCCGCCGAATCATGAATTTGTGAGACGTGTTCGGCCCCAGGCCTGTATGACGTTGGACTTGGAGACTCGGGCAAACTACGGAGTAGCTTCGCAGTTTCCCGCACTCACCAAACATCAGTTGCATCCAGATCAGAAGAGTTTGCTGCACGCAGGGTGGGGGTGACATGCGCAGTGTGGAAGCTGGCACACGTACGGTCTTGAAAGTAAAGGATGTGAGGATAAGAAATGGATTAAACTGGCTTCAATGTCTGACTATTGTAAAAGTGCCAGTGTATCTCCAGTTTGAATAGAAGGCAGGAAAGTTTTAGAGTCGCTGAGAGACTACAAGCTTCTCAAGAAGAACAAACACTGTTTAGGCTGTGTCGGTAAGTACAGGGAATGTTTGTACGTGTCCTCTTCTTACGGCACGTGAAGTGGTGCTGACGAAGGAAACACATCCGGCGCCCCTCTGTACCGGCGCAAGACACCGACTTGTCGCGTTGTTTTTCTTTCATGTGTCCATGGGCCCACTGCCATGGAGGGCTGGGATAGTCATACCCCTCAAGCATATTCACATGTAGGCTGTCATTATTTACACGGGCTACGGGACTCAACGGCCTGGGTTCGATTACCCGGCAAGGACAAGATTTTTTCTCTTCACAGATCGTCTTTGGGGCTCACTCAGCCTCCTATACAATGGGTACCGGGATGAAGTGGCCGGGGCGTGAGGCTGTCCACTCACCTCCAACTGATGCCAAGGTCAAGAATAGTGTGTCGCTATACCTCCACTTCCCCTTATAACTCTACCACATAGTATTTAATTTAATTAAACCCAGGGATAAGATTCTGAATTGTGTTTTTTCTTGTTACTGCCCGAGACGGTACAGCGACAGAACGCTCTGTTTGTGGGACGTTTGTAATATTTGTATTTGACCTCAATGACCCTAGCTTGCTATACAGCAGTGTTGCTCCATTGTCATGTCCCCTATCTGTACAGCGCAGCCAGTCTGGAGACTGTGGAGCAGAGAGAAATCCCTAGTCTATGCTTAGAATTGAACACGACCGTCAGGCGCATAGCTATATCGACTGAGCTACCGCGACTCCTCAGTATGGTACATAATTAAGCACGAGTAAATAAGATGGCGCTCGGTACCAATCGGAGCAGAAGCTTTCCTACCCACCCGCTCTCTCTCCATGAACAGACTGTTATCTGCGCAGGCGATGTTACGTGTTGGAGACCCATTGGGCTGTGAGACGTCGAGGCTCCCCACATTTTCTAAACAGCATGCTCACAGATGGCGGTGAGGTTGCCAGCCTTACGACTCTGTCGGCCACCATTTACCCACCAGGAAGATTCCTGGTACTCATTTCTGTTAGAGGCTGAGTCGGCCCGAGGGCCATAGTGCGGCTGGAAGGATTAGGTCAAATGAAAAATGCAATGACCTCATCGGGAATCGAACCTGCATATGCATATAGTTGAAAAAGAGTGTGAAGACGGTATGGATTGGATTCATGTGGCTCAGGTTGGCCGTGGCAATCGGAGCTCTTTACCTTTCTGAGTGAAACCAACTGAGCCACACGAATCCAATTCAGACCGTCGTTTACTCACACCCTATGCCGGTTCGTTTCCCGATGAGGTCATTGCATTTTTCATTTGACCTAATCCTTCCAGCCGCACTGTGGTGCTGGGATTGACTCAGCCTCTAGTATCAGGTATCTTCTTGCGGGGAAAAGGGCTGCCGGCCCGTCGCGTAAGGCTAACAACCTCACCGCCATCTGCGAGCCGACTGTGCAGACATTCTGGGAGCCACGGCGGCCTGTTACAGGGATCGCTTTGCCCTTTTAATAATGAATGTATTGAGTTACTACAAGGGAAGAGGGTAAATGGAATACATTAGAGCTTTGCTGTGTGGAAAGGAAGTACTTTATTCGCTTTAAAATGTATATACAGTCTTTATACTTATTTTGTGTGGGTAAATTTTGCCAATTTCGTAACAGATCCAGTAACCTAAGAGTGAATGTATTCCTGTAAGTATCTTGTTTGTTGTCATGCCGGAACCTGGCCAACACTTCGGAGTTTCCTCTGGTTCCGAACCCTGGACGCATATAGGCAGGCCTAGTGACTGACGTGACAATGAAAGATGTTCCTGCCACCCGTGACGTCACTGATCGCTCGGTCACGAGTGTCATTATTACAGTTCGCGTCAGTCGTAACATGTTTATAAGAACGACGACATATTTGGCGTCACGGCGCCGTGTGCTTGATCCCCCTTCAATGCCCCGTCACTGGGAATAGCGCGTCGTATGGTAACCCGCTCGCTATGGTGTTGACGATGTTGCCTACGACCTGGGCGAAAGCCTCCGAAATTGCCGGGGACATGCTCCTGTAGATCTCCTGCCAGTTCTCGTTGAGGAAGCCGTTAACTTGAGTTCCTGCAACATGACGAACTGCATTTGTGCGCATGCGTGGCTGGCGGACATCCTATAGGACATACTTATATAATTTTAAGCCTGTTGCATTGATACTGTAGCATTTATGCTCAAAGCAAGAACTGTGGTGAAATAGCCATTGGCTAGGTAACGGCTGTGTAACGCGCAGTAGCGAAGTAACTGTTGGAAGCAGTGTTTTCTGTGCGGTCTGTGACAAGGCCATTTACCGAGGAGGACCAGCTGCCATTACAAGAGAGTCCTGAGATGGAAGTTAGAAGACTGGGAGTTTTGGCCGTGCCATAGCTCAGGCGGTTAGTCTCCCGCTTCTCATTGGGTTCGAGCCCAGTTCAGGGCATGTGGTGGACAAAGTGGTATCTCCGAGTATCTTGGTTTCCCCTGCCAATTCTCATTCCACCGACTTCTCCACACTCATTATCTATCATCCGGCGCGGGTACCATAGGCCAGTTAGTGGCCGACGTACCAAGTGGACTGTCTCACCCCACCCCAAGAAACGAGAAGAATAGGAGGTTGGTGTGAGATGGCCGTCAGCCAACGAGGAAGTGAACCTGGGATCAGAGGCACGTCCACTTTTGGAAACCGCTACCCAGCAACGACTAGTGAAAACCGTGACTGAGAACACTAGTCTGTGTATGACTTGTAAAATATAGTCACGAGTTGTTTCAGGATCCTACTACGTGAAATCCAAAAACTCCCGAAATTTGATTTTTTCGCGCGAATGGTTATGAGTACATCGAAATACCGCTAGGTGTCTCCCCACACACCCTTCATGAATCAGTGTGGCAAGCGGCGTCCAGTTGAGTGGTTGGATTTATTGTTGGTGAACGTATTTCCATTGTTGTGTTTCCGTGAGTTTGCGGTTTTGCGATGGCTGACCTCAGAGAGCAGCGTGTCTGTATAAAGTTTTGTTTTAAACTGGGAAAACCGCTGCAGAAATGCACCAAATGTTGAAGCAAGCTTTTGGTGACAGCAGTTTAGGCCAGACACAAACTTACAAGTAGTATAAGCGTTTCAAAAATGGCCGAACATCGACTGATGATGACGATCGTTCGGGACGGCCGTCAACTGTCACCACACCAGAAAATGTCGCGAAAGTTAGGAATCTGATTCTGCAAGATCGTAGACTGACCATCCAAGATCTCTGTAACACCTTAGGACTAAGTTATGGCACATGTCAACAAATTCTGTCAGAGGAACTGAACATGAGGACTGCGGCGAAGTTTGTGCCACGACTGCTGCAAAATGAACAGAAGCATCGCTTGGAAGTCTGCAGGGATCTTCAACAACAACTTCAAGAAGATCCAAACTTCCAAACTTTCTTTCAAAGGTTGTCACTGGTGACGAAAGTTGGGTTTATGGCTACGACCCTGAAAGCAAGCAGCAAACGTCGCAATGGAAGAGCCCTTCTTCGCCTCGGCCAAAAAAACTCGACAAGTCAAGAGCAAAATTAAGTCCATGTTGATCTGTCTTTTTTTATATTGACAGGATTGTTCATAAGGAATTCATCCCTCCTAGTCAGACAGTCAATAAAGAGTTCTATCGCGATGTTCTAAGGCGTTTGAGGGAGGACATGAGGAGAAAACTTCCAGAGAAGTGGCGCACGAACGACTGGGTACTCCACCATGACAACGCACGACCGCATACGGCTTACATTGTGCAGGAATTTTTGGCTAAAAACAAGATGGCAGTTGTTCCCCACCCACCGCACTCGCCAGACTTAGCCCCATGCGACTTCTTTCTCTTCCCCAAGATGAAAATCAAGTTGAAGGGGCGAAGATTTGATACAGTTGAGGAAATTCAAGCAGAAACGCAGACGGTACTAAACACCCTAACAAAGAAAGACTTCCAGGATGCATTTGAAAAGTGGCAGAAACGCTGGGATCGGTGTATGCGCTCCCTAGGGGACTACTTTGAAGGTGACGGTATAGAATAAGATCTAGGTAAGATGTAATAGTTTTTATTAATATATTTCGGGATTGCCAACCCAAATCCCACCTTCAGTCACTGAAATCGTGACAATATTTATGCAATTGACTTCACGCAGAGGATTGGGGGACATTTGTTGCCCAAGATTTACTTCCACACTGCAAAGTTTGCAGTGCTGCCAATTTGTGAAACGTCAGCCATGTTTCATTCCTTGAATCCCCTGCTAAGGTAGGGCGTACCGCGTTGGTTGGATAAGCTTGAGTTAGTTATTACTGTAGGTCTACAGACCACCAGAATGTCCTTGAAACGTACGTTCAGAGCCTTTGTAGCCAGTTCTATTGATCATGAGTATTCAGGGTAGGCGAATATACACGCATTCCTGTCATATGAATGTTGGTACTTTTACTTGGTGTTCTGCGGACCCCTGCCCCACACTGGAATTTTGCAAAAAAAAAAAAAAAAAAAAAAAAAACTCAACAGTTTTAAAGAGGAGGAAGTAGACCCTCTAACGATTTTTTTTTTTTAGTTTCTTGGGGTGGGGTGACACTGAGTGTACTTGTTACGTCAGACATTGACTGGCCTGTTGTACCAGCCCCGGATGACAAATGAGTGTGGATCACTCAGTGGAATGAGAATTGGCAGGGGAAACCAAAGTACTCAGAGAAAACCTGCCCGCAGTGCCACTTTGTCGTGGGACTGAACCCGGGCCGACGGGATGGGAAGCCGGCGACTAACCGCCTGAGCTATGGAGCGGCCTCTATCAGACACTGTTCCAAGTAACACAAAGCTTATTCTTGTGTTCTGAAGAGTTCAGAACGGTCTCAGTTTGTGGTCGCTGTCTTTGGAAAAGATTTTTCAGTAGCCAGGATGGAGATATTCTGTCTCCTCACATGTGACGTGGTGTAGTCTGGTACATTATTACCAGGGTTTCGTTGAAGCCTGCTGCTACTTTCATTTCCCCGAGAATGAAGGTAGCAGGTAAAGGTAAAAGTGGTCCTGTGCTTAATTAAGCTCTGTACCATGAAGACGTATGGGGGAGTGGAGGTATACGTTTCTTGGCCTGGGCATTAGATGAAGGTGAGTTGTCAGCTTCACGCTTCAGCTTTTTTACCGTCGTGGAAAGATCCCTCGTTACCCATTGGATAGGAGGTTGGGTGGATACCAGAGCCTGTCTGAACGCTGTGCTGATGAGAAAAGAATCTTGCCATGCCGGGAATCGAACCCCGACCTTCCAGCCCCTACCCCATCGCTGTAGTGACTGTGTTGAGTGCCTTACCCAACAGTTTATCGCCGTTGAACAAGTTGGACAGATGGTACAGCCCCACGGTGGGCTCCACAACGGCCTTATGGTTCTTGGTCACGTGGTATCTGTTGCCGTTTCTCTCCACGATGTCGAAGTCGTACGAGTACGTGAGGTGACTGTTGACTGCAAGCAGAGAATACCCTCGTCTTCATTGGTAAAGTGGAAAATTGGGTAAATATGGCCCACAGAAGGAGCTGCCGGTCAACTCTTAAAAATAGAACGGTTTGTCGGTTAATAATACAGCTTTCGGAAATTCGGTGCTGACCTGCTCCATTACACATTAAATTTCGGCTTTTGAAATATCTCACTGATTTTCAAGAAATTCCCGTGTGTATGTTATGTGAGAGATGCCCAGCTTCTTGCTTTTGTTTTAATGCCTTACATTAAGCATTGACAATAATGGTCGAAGCGCGAAATACTGAGGTGGAGGCAGGACTAGCCCTGTGTCTTGAGGTAGGTTTGATGGCCATAACCAGTGAATCATTTGAGAGCCAGGCATGTGGAGTTGGTTGGCCCACCGGTCACAAATACAGCGAAATACAGTGCGAAATTTTGAAGTTATGTTCGAAAATGTTTTGTAGAAAAATTATCTGTACCACGATGAGTGCTTCACATAATTAAAATAGCTTACCACTACAAATCCAGTGACCTCATCGGGAATCGAGCCCGCGGCCTTCCGGGTTGTAGCATAGTGCCTCAACCAACCTCTCCACCGCGTGCAACAAAATTGTTATTGTATCCTTAGGACAGATGTTATGTTCATTGAAAACGTTCAGAGATTTGCAGATGCTGTTTGCAGCCATGACGCACCTTGCTGAAGGGCTAAATGTCAGGAGACAGTACTGACGTTAAAGGTGGAGAAGTCTCTAATTTGCTTTGTGGGTACACGGAGACAACAAATAACATCCATAACAGAGAAACGTTTAATTTTGCTCTTGGAAACGTTAATAAGAAATAAAGCGCCAAAATTTTGTCACCTGGAAATAAAGCGTTTTTAAATGTGAATATTTTCAACTTCGGTTCATAACTACAAAAGGAGTTGGGGCTGAATAAATCGGATTATAGGATAAATTTGCAAACTTTCCTCGTATGTTTTCCAGTTTATCAGAATCTGCTGAATCAAGGAGGAAACTTCGCAACACCGCTGACCGGCCCAACATTCCTCACAGATTGCTGCTGTAACTGTAACGGAGCGCGTTTATCAGCGCTAATGACTCAGTCCGCTATCAGCAGTTACAGCAGCAATCTGTGAGGAATGTTGGGCCGGGTCAGCGCTGTTGTGAAGTTTCCTCCTTGACTGAACGCACTGTATTAGCAATAGTAATAATATCTGAGCTCGTAAAAGCATCTCCGCTCGCTTACTCAGTGTGATGTTGATGTCCCCTTTGCCTGATATTGGCAACAGTAAGATCCGTCCCGAAACCTCGTACTCTCCGAGAATCGTGAGGACAGGAATGTTCGTGTCGTACATCACGTGGTTCCTGTCGAAGTCGAATCTGGAACAAAATGGAGGTGAGGGTGATGCCCGCATGTTCCTGACGAATCGCAGCGCGGGAGGCTCAACAGTCGCCTGCCGTTTGCAAGAAGAAATTGGACGCTCCTAAACGTCAGACATGGATAATCAGACTTGCGGAAATGTGAGAGCGTGCACAATCAGGCTTCTATAGAGATCAGAAATGAGGAATTGCGTGTGTATATATTTGCACACATTAAGTATTCATGCGCTCGTGAAAATCTGACGTGAAGAATCAGGCTTCTTTATGGATCTAATATGAATAAACGGGGTTTGTATAAAGATCAGCCATGACGAATCAGGCTTCACAAGGACCTAACATGGAGAAACGGGGTTTGTATAAAGATCAGCCATGACGAATCAGGCTTCACAAGGACCTAACATGGAGAAACGGGGTTTGTATAAAGATCAGCCATGACGAATCAGGCTTCACAAGGATCTGACATGAAGAAACGGGGTTTGTATAAAGATCACGCATGAAGAATCAGGCGTTACTTTGGATGTGACATGAAGAAACAGGTTTGTGTAAAGATCAGACGTGAAGAATCAGGCTTTATTATGGATCGAACGTCAAGAAATAAGCTTGCATAAATTATCAGACAGAAAGTATCAGCCATGAGTACTTACATATGGAGCTGAGCCCTTCTTGAGAAGCCACCCAAGAATTTCCCAGCATTTTATGGAACCCGAAGGTTCATTCGGTGTTCACAAGAGCCATCCACTGGTCCCTATCCTGAGCCAGATCAATCCAATTCATACCATCCCATCTCTAAGAATAGTCAGATTTATATAAAGACCACACATGAAGAATCAGGCGTTACTTTGGATGAGACATGAAGAAACAGGCATGTGTAAAGATCAGACGTGAAGAACCAGGCTTCATTATGGATAGAACATGAAGACACATGCTTGCATAGATATCAGACAGGCATGAAGAGTCAGTGTTGCGCAAGGACGACTGCACTTGAAGTAACTTACTCCGTTTTCTGAAGTACAGCGTGTTTCAGCCCATACATCTTGACATTGCGCATGGACAGAGACAAGCCGCCATTGCTCGGCCCCTCAGATATCTCCATCTCAGCTATCTCCAGGGGATCCATCCTCGGTATCTTGTACTTCCTGTCGCCTGCAGCAGATAACAACATCACGTGGTTGCATGAAGGCTTCAAGGGCAGCGGGTGGTAGGTAAACTGGCTCATTCTCTGGAAGCTTATAGTCATGTAGCTAGTCAAGGAATACATGTGTAGGATTTTAGGTCTCAGAACGGTGATTGTGAAGAGAGCTTGCTTATCTTAGGGAACATTACGCTGTGTATTTCGTTTTCCCTGCCGAGTGCTCTTTCACGCTTGTTTTTTGCTTCTTCTTCTTTCTTCTTCGGCCATCAAGATGGAGGCGACATGTTCCTCCGAAACGTATGTTGACTATCAACGGACTGTGTACGGAGATATACGTGGTACAGTCATTAATTTCGTGAACTGTGGTTTTATCGCATCATATTACAAGGTATTCACATACACTTACACACACATCCACATCGGCCCTCAAAATAGTTTCCGCTGGCCGCTATGCAAGTCTGCCAACGTTGATACAGCTGCCGAAAACATTGCTGAAACATATTGGCAGGAAATTCCCGTTCGGCGTCTCTTGTGGCACTGACGGCCTCCTCGTACGACTGAAATCTACGACCACGTAGCTTTGCTTTCAAGCGTTGAAAGAGAAAGAAATCGCACAGTGCGAGATCAGGTGAGTACGGAAGGTGTGGCAAAACTGTGACCTGTTGCCTTGTCAGTTCCTCCAGAACAAGGACAGAGCGATGTGCAGGGGCGTTGTCGTGTAGCAACAGCCAATTCTTCATATGCCAAGCGTTTCGCTAGGGGATTTACCTAGTTTCTGGCGGAACTTGATGTTTGCCCGTTCTTCAAACTCCCATATCTTAAATTTCCGCCACTCGCATGTAACAGCAGTTCACAATAGAGGCCGTAGTTCTGCTTGCACTGTTTGCACACAACTGCCTCTTGCTGTGACGAGAGATGAACTGACAGGGCATCATATCATGTCTCAACCTATCCGCTGTAATACAATGCAACGACGCTCTGCGGCCAGTCCACGAAATTATTGACTGTGGTAATATATATATCCCACAAGATAAAATTCTTCAAGAAAAATCTGCTTCACACGGATCCCAAAATTTCATAACGCCCCACCGCCACGCCCTAGCCTGAGCCGGTTTAATCCAATCTGCACCCTCACACAGTTTTCAGTGATTGAAAAGTATAAGTTTCGGAAATGATTTCCCTTAGACGGTTTCTTTTAGCCAGATGAATCATATATGTATTTGCATTATATTACTGAAAGTATGTTAGTAGCTTCATAAATCGTACTTTAAGCCAAATATCTTTTCTACAACGGAAATAAAATCAAATGTAGACATGGAATAAATCGGGAATTTTTACATCATTTTACTTGAAGACTGAGAAGATAAGACCACCCGAAACACTCAGACCTGTATGGGAGATTAATATTAAGATGTTTATATGATGTGATGCGAAATGAATTCCGGTGGCAGAGTTTTGTGCAAACGGCAATGAACCGTCAGCTTTCTGTGTTCCGACTCTCCCCGGAGCCCCTTTTCCTTGTGTGTGACTTCCCGTCTTCCATGTTCTGGCCCAGAGGCCTAGAATCCATCTCTACATTTGCGCATGCGCGTGCACTTGCTCAGTTCTAGTGCCGCTTTACTTGCATGAAGGGAAAATTCATATATATTGTGACATGTTGACCCCTACCTCCCCAGCGGTAACGTAACGCTCGCGTTCTTACGGTAATAGGCGAGTTCCCGCCCCGCCACTCCCCTCCGCGGTGACGTCACCGAGGGATATCGCGGTCGCTAGGCAACGCGAGTCAACAGCGGCGACGTTACGATAGTAACAGCGGTGACCTCCGCTAGCGTTACATAGCAACACAGCGCCAGGCAAAAAGGGTGCCTAGTACGTGGCCGTTTTCCCGTACTGTCCGATCGAGGCTACATACGGAGCAGCGAAGGCTATTCACAGTCAGTTCTAGTGTGGCTACCGCAGCGTTGTACTGAGTCAGTCAGCGAGTCCTGGACCTATCGTCGAGTTAGCCAGCAACCAGTCAGTTGTATTGTGGCATTGGGAGTGTACTATTTGTGATACTGCAGATAGCAGTAATCGTCAGATTGTAATTTGGGTGATTGTAAGAGCGAATGTGAAATAAAATTCGCTACATCGAATACATCGAGAATTTATTTGTCGCGATATACGCCCGATACGCGACAATATGGAGCAGTGATTAACTAACTCCATTGAACTGAGCTCTTCCTGAGGAACCGTCAGTTGTGCAACTACTCAAGAAATTCCCGGCATTTTATGGATCCCGAAAGTTCATTTCCGTATTCAGAACAGCCCTCCACTCGTCCTATTCTGAGCCAGATTAATCGAATCCATACCATCTCATTCTATCTCTCTAAGATTCGTCTTAAAATTATCCTCCTACCTACATATTGGTCGTCCTAGTGGTCTCTTTCCTTTTGGCTTTGCCACAAATATCCTACATGTATTCTCTTCTTCCCATTCGTGCTACAATACCCTGTCCATCTTATTCTCCTTGACTTGATGATTCTAATTACAACTTGGAGAAGAGTACAAGTTATGAAGCTCCTCTTTATGCATTTTTCTCCAACCTCCTGTCACTTCATCTCTCTTGGGTCCAAATATTCTCCTCAACACCCTGTTCTCAAACTCCCTCTGTCTATGTTCCTCCCTTAATGTCAGAGGCGAAGTTTCACATCCATACAGAACCACAGGCAAAATTATAGTTTTGTATATTCTGATTTTTATGTTTTTGGACAGTAGATGAGAAGACAAAAGCTTCTGGACTGAACGGTAGCAAGCATTGCCCGAGTTCAGTCTCCTCTTAATTTCCTCCTGAATCAGGTTTTGATTTGTTATTGTCGTTCCCAAATATCTGAACTGTGCCACGTTTTCACAGAACCAAGAGGTAGCTCAGTAGGTATAGGGGTTATAGGAAGTAATTTATAAGCTGAGCAACCAAAGAGGCGAGGATCGATTCCCGGTAGGGTTAACAGATGATTTCTCATATATGGCGTCCAGACCGGCCCTGGGGTTCAGTTCCTATTTCCTCAGGCGTGAACTTGCTGGATCACCGGCCTCCATTTAGTGAATGGATAAAGAAATCGTGGAGGTCTACCTCCACTTCCGCACACACCGCGTGATGCTTTAAGGGCGGTATCACGCTAGGATGTCAACGGAAGGCCATGGCTCAGCTACCAGCATCTGGGCCAAATTCAGTGCATTAATTCAGTGGTCATATATCGCACCTGGCATCTGTCTGGCAGCGCTGCCAACCAAGATGCCAAGTGCTAATGCTGCTGGCATCGCTGCCAACCAAGATGCCAAGTGCTAATGCTGCTGGCATCGCTGCCACGAAGGCAAAGGCCAAATCAACATCACACGACAGTCTCAGGCCAGTCCATTGACGTCCGTGCGTGTATATGTGCTTGTGTGTGTTTCTGTTTCCTTCAAACATGTCCAATTTCGACACCGAAAGATTTATAATTGAAATTCAGTCCCGACCATCTGGCAGCTGGACGCCATGGCATCCTAGTGCGATATCGCCCTAACTTGCATCCAGTGGGAAACTTACCCTTCACGAAGACTGGGAAAGTCTCCTTCGCGTGCTGCAGTGCGCAGATGTTGAAGTCAGGGTCACTGCGCGCGCATGGCTTGATATAGGACGCTGAAACAGTCAGACACAAGATCGACATTAATATGCATACTGTTGGAAAGTGACATTCTTGTAGTGGGTGGGATAAACTGTCTCTCCTGTAGGTATTGTCAGTGCTGAATAAACGAGATTTTTTTGGCTTCAGTGTTCCACAGGTTGCAGGAGAATCTAATTTTAGTTACCTGATCAGGGGGTATCGTGTTTCTGAAGGAGAAGGTGTTAAAGCGACCACGGTAATGATAATTATGTGACGCCATGTCTGTTTCTGAGCCTGAATTCAGTCATAAGCACGATTCACTGTCCGTGCAGTGCAGAGCAGTGCAGAAACAACCGTGTGATGCGCACTTTAGTTAATTGGCGAAGGGGGAAAACGGCAGTATGTATCCACAAGGTTTTGAAAATAAATCAGAAATATTTATTTCTGAGAAACATACTGTCACCATCGTCAAGGTTTAAAACCATGAAGATGGAGGCAGTAGGCTGTTCCAAAACATTTTGTTAACCATCTGCGGGACTGCGCAGCATCACCTCTCTGAAGATAACAATTTTAACACTCACCTCCGTCTGTAACGTCGAACCACGTTGGAACTGCCTCAGTTTTAGTGTAAAGTCCATTGGGGTATGCGATGGGGGCGCACAGAATCCCTCACAAGCTTCCGGGGTTCGAATCCATACCACTAAGGATTAATGACGTAACTGATCTGCGAGAGAAGCGCGAGGCAAAATTTCAAAGGAACTAAACGTAAAAAGGTCCCATTTGGTGCGTAACTCGGAGGTGAGCCTCTGTGGGAGGAAGGGTGACGTAGTGAAGAGGAATCTTTCAGCATCCAGACAAAGTTCGTAATAATGTGAAAGTCATGAAATCTGTAGAGTTGCGATGCATATTTTGGTGGTAAAAACCCTTGCTAAGCCGGGTTAATTTTTGCGTGGAGATCATCTGATTAACGGGTTAATTTTTGCGTGGAGATCATCTGATTAAAATGCAGCAGAAGATGGCTCTAAAAGACAAAAAGTTTTAGAACACAAATAAATATTTAGTGCTGATGAACATAAATAAAAAGTATGACTGCAGTAATTTCTTCCTCTGTCAGAAGCTGAAATAAAGGGCCTCCTTTATCCAGGTAAAGTCAATGTCGGATATTTTCTTGCGTGGTTTCAGTCTCAGCACAGTCTGAAAGTCCTCTTGCTCCTAAATCCCATGCTACTTCTTTAAGTATGTACTCAACTGTGAAGAGAAATCTTCGTTATCCACATCCTGATTAACTGTAACGGTATTGTCGTTCACACAAATATCGCATTTTCAATTCAGTGAACCTTGAAATGCAAATGCATACATAGTAACGGGTCTATACTCCACAATATTTTGGGGAAATTTGCTGTCGCAAACGGCCGGAAATGTATGAGCCAGATTTCCTGAGGTCGGTAGTGGCAGTAGAAGTCCCTGCAGAAGATTCCTACTCAAGGTTGGACGTGCCCACAGCAAGTGGAACATGATTGCAGTGGTTAATTGCAGCCCATAAATTATGAACGCAAATCTGTCTACAGCCCTTTCTTGTGCCTTGGCCGCCTTTTCAGTTTCTTGACAGTCTACACAGTCGGTAGGACTCCTTGGACGGGGGATCAGCCCGTCGCAAGGCCGCTGCCTGCACACAGACATCCATACCTCCTATAGAATTCGAACCCACGGTCCCAGTGTTTGAGCGGGCGAAGACAGTTCATGCCTTAGACCGCGCGGCCACTCTGATCGGCTTATAAACGCAAATGCTAGTGTCAAATGCAAACATAAATGAGTTCAGCATGATAATAAGTCACGTGATTAGTTACGTCGTGTAAGGTAAACTTGTCCCTGTGCTTAACTAATTAAGCGCAACGCCTTGAGGACGTATGGAGGAGTTGATTGCCTTGTCCGCAGAGCTAGATAGAGGTGAATGGTCAGCTTCATGCGCCAGAATCGGTCTGGGCGTTGTGAAGAAGAGACAAGTTGTTGGCCCGCCATCCAGCCCGTCGCTGTACCGACTGAGCTATTCCGGCTCGAAGACACGAGTAGCGTGGAACATAAGAAAATGAAATGGGGGGCAGAACGGAGCCGAGGTGTGGTCCCGAGAGAGAGGTCACACAACAGTGACTGAAGAAGAGAGGCGGAAGGAATGGAACCTGGCTGGAATATCTGCAGAGGACGCCATGAGAAAGGGCCCGAAAGCAACTTTATATTATAAGCCGATAGGGAGAAGACGTGATCCAGGGAGACCAAGAAGAAGATGACTTGATATTTGAGGACGACATAGGTTAACAGTCTCAACCGTTGCGGATGATGATGAACAATTGCTGGTTGCGTTCACAAGATAGGAAACGTCATCTGAAATAGGCTGAAATTAAAAAAAGAAATAAAAGATATATTTACAGTTACAAGGTCGACATGTTGCTGCTCAAGGGGTGGAGGCAGAGGTGTTCTGGAGGTCGTCGGTTCGAATCTCGACCTGAATATCGGCTATCCTGGTCGAAGGTTTTCGTGGATTTCCTCTGTCACCTCAAGTATGCGACGATCGCTTCCTTTCACACACTTTCCAATTCATTACCATTCGTGTATCATTCAACTGTGCCACTGTGTATAGTCCTGGCACTGAAACCGTCATGATCCGAGGAAGCTCAGTCGGTATAGTGACTGGCTACGGGGCTGCAGGGCGCGATATCGGAGTTCGAATCCCGGTAGGGGCAAGATTTTTCTGCAGTCCACGTCGTCCAGAACCACCCAGCCTCCTATTCATGGGTACCGGGGTGAAGAGCGGCCGTGGTGTGAAGCTGACCACTTACTTCAAACTGATATTGAGGTCAAGAAAACGTGGATGTATACATCCACTCCCCCCAGACGTCTTCATGGCGTAGTGCTGAATTAGTGAAGCATACCTGTACACCTTAACCGAAAGCGTCGTTGAAGAACAATTGTAACCAATAAGAATTTGACTCGGCTAGGTTTATAGATAATATGACCATCTGCGCAGAATCCCGACGCGCAGATCCTGTGCAGACTTGTGTCTGCAAGCGGTCGGTGCCTTGAAACGGCCACTAGTTTCGGAGTCTTACCTAGATCTTACAGCAAAACAACTGAGCCTACTTACGTAGAGGCAGGGAGGCATAGGTGACAGCAGCCAATAGGGTCACGGCGTATCCTGATCTCCACATGTTCCGGCCGGGGTTTCCGTCAAAACTGAGAATGTTCGTGTCGTGGCTCTCTCTCTTAAGATATCCAGTCAGCGTTACGTCACGGCCGGCCGATTGCGAAACTTTTGACCGCACCCGTCCCCACCGCTTGTCATGAGGATCTTCAGGCAATGCCACAAGGTGCGGGTCTGCATAACCCCCCCCCNGGGGGGGGTGAGAAGGAGGCCTCCGACTCTCGAACCCAAACACGCGCCGCAGCAGGCCGTCGCGTCCGTCCTCACCTTGCTTGACTCTGTTAATTGACTTGGGTGTGTTACGTCAAGCTTACACTGGGCAAACAGTCTGGCCACCTCTTCGGCCTCGACCTTGGCCTTGGCAGCGTGGAGCTTGTGCATCGCTGCTGTGACATTGACTCTTCTGAATGAGGAAGCCTCTTGCCTTCTCCCGCGGGCCCTCTACCACTTCTTTTCGAAATCCTAAGGCACTCACAGCGCCACGAAAATAGTATTGTCACGTCTGTAGACGGGGTTTGGATAGGTAATTTGACTTGCTGACCACTTTACAGGTCGTAAAACTGCAAATAACTATAACTGTCGCTATTTCCTCAATTAACAGTTCAGTAGAGCACACAGTCTGGTGTTCTCAGTCTCTTACTACACGTTTCCTAGTGACGGCTCCAACAGTGATTTCCTCTGCCTCTGACTGAGTCCTGTCTTCACAGACTCCCCATACGGAACTGAGTTTCTCCCTTGCTTATAACTCGTCAGATCGGGCCACATAGAAAGCAGCTCTTCTGTTGTTTATTCAAGGTAATGGTAAAGCTGTAGGCCCTGTGAGACGTCGAGGCTCCCACATTTCCTAGACAATCGGCTCATAGGTGACGGTGAGGTTGTGAGCCTCACACGCCGGCAGCCCTTTACCCCCAGGAAGATTCCTGGTACTCATTTCTGCTAGAGGCTGAGTCGACCCCTGGTCCATTTTGCGGCTGGAAAAATCAGGTCAGTTGAACAAAATTCAGTGACTTCATCGTGAATCGAACCTGCGACTTTCCGGCTTGTAGCATAGTGCCTCAACCAACTACGCTGTAGCGTGGAGACGGGTTCAAATACCTCCACTGTAGCCCTGCGAGTCGTAGGAGGTGACGAAAAGGGAACCCAGTGCCTTGGGGTACAACTGGGTCACCCTGTTCCTGGGGCATATATGTATACGGGGTTCTGGCCCTCAAAGTTGAGGGAGTCTCGAAACTGAGACAGTCATGGTCAAGAATCCCACTGCATTTGCTCCAACAGTGACTTCCCTGGCGAGGACCAGAAACAATTGTAAACGACTGACCCGTCCTCTCCTCAGAGAGGGTGCCTCGCATCAAAACAAACCCTCATCTGTCTGACAATAATAAAGATCTGATCTTGGGTCCCAGATGAAGAGGCTTTTAACAGCTAGACAGACTGACCGACTGACCGCTCGAGGTCAGCGGTAGAGCAGTACACTCTTGAGACAGCGGTTAGGGGACGCAGATCGTGAGTCGTAAGGGCGTGTTAGAAGGTTGTAACCAGGCAACGGCTGCTCAGTTGTGAGATAGGTGCCATACAGCGAGGACCGGAACCGTGGAACACGGAAGCAGAAAAATCTACGGTGTTGGGATCCGTTACCAAGCGACATCAAGTTAAGACATAGCAGATCGAGAATACTTAGTGCACACTGTAGTGAACTCTAGAGTGTGTGAATTAGTGATAGCGCTATAATTATAGTTAAAGTTTCAAGAGTCTTATAAATCCTCTTATCAATCCAAACCCCGTATACTTTAACGTCACGAAGAGGCTGTTGGATTGCGCTAAGTGTCATACGGCGCGGGCAGTATTGGTTATACTGAAGGAATTTTTCGGAAGTTTATCAATTCGAAGCGACTCTGTCCACCCAGATCTCCGGACATAATATCCACTTACACTGAAAGGGGTTCTTAAGATGCTGCTTGTAGGGAATCAACCGAAGAACCGTATAAACCTAAAATATGATCTTCCCACCACGGCTGAAACTTCTACACGTGTCCTTCGAAACACGGACCAACAGATTGCTTCCTCCTGTATTGGGAGAAAAATCGAGGACAAATCAAGTTTATTTCATAGACAACCGTTTATGATTTATATTCAATCAGATACGAAATGCAATTTTATGTTTTTTGGTTGTAGTTTCGATGGATCACTCTGTATAGCGTATAAACCCGCCATACGCGTGGAATGAAGCTGAGATATTTTCCCGTGTAAACTGCAGTATTTACCTTTGTTTGTGAGTCACTGTTATTGTGGGAGGAGACTGGCTGCTTGCACAAGTGTCCCCGTGCCGTGATGTCCGTAAGGCTCCGAATCTCCCAAAGCGCTGTGTTCAACGTGTCTGTCTTCAGATCCAACAGTTTGTATGTCGTGGTTTGGCGAGGATGTTGTAAGTCACGTTACATAATAGCGGCAACGCCCTTCACTTGCACTCAAGAAGACACGGGTTCGAACCTCAGCGGGACACTGAATATCGTTGCTGATGGACCTTGTGATTTCTTAAGTCTCTCTCCAGAAAAATTTTTGGCATAATGGGCACAAAATAGGGCACGACAGCTTCGTTGCACGTCCTTTCAGATTGATTGTTCATTAAATGATGCTGGATTTGATGTTTCGGGTTGGCGTTAGTGTAGCGGTTACGTTCTGATCTTGTATTGTGGGGTTTCAGGGTTCGACTCTCGGCCGGCACGTGTGCACAGTTTGGCTCCACGAGAGCTGCCGAAGAGTAGAGACCGGAACCCGCCGTGACTGTCGCCCTGGACACTGGGCGCACACAACTAATGCAAGGTTTCGTGCGACTGACTAGTTCTAACCTAGACCGGTCTGCTGCTGCTAGTTTCTTATGGTTTCCTTCGCCCGCTCATAATCTGCAATAGGCCACGACCACCCCATCAAACCCTTACCATTGTATTCTAACGAATTCAGCCGTTCTATCAAATAGATGAATCAGTAGACGTCCATTGCTAGGCAGCGACGTTGCATCTGCAACGAATACGCAAGCAACAGTGGATGGTTTGCTAGGAAACGGTGCTCTTCTCTGGGTCCACCCCACCCCGAGGCTGTATAACGAGGATCCCAGACCAACTGAGAGTTATGTGAGAACCGACAGTCGAAAATTGAGTCTCCCGAGTTGGCAATTGCAGCAGAGAACTGGATTAGTAGGCAGTTCTGTACGAGAGTCGGTGAACGAACGGACATGAGCGCGGCAAGCTGAAGAATATCGTCTGTTACAAGCCGTAGCCAGGAAACGGCTGGTTGAGACAGCAGGCTGGAAAAGGCTTAGTGTGTGCTGTGGTGATTTGTGAATTGTGGAGATTAGCGGTAGTGCTGTGATTGCAGTTGTGAGTGGTGTGTATATATGGTCATCAAATCCAATATCGAATCCATACCCCATCCATTAGTCACACACCTCTACATGTGACGTTATCAATCACGGCCATAGTTACATGTCGAGTAGCTTCTACAGTATAAACAGCATCGTTAGTAAATTCTTAGATCCGTCAGTGGATGATAATGATTATGACGAAGATTCGCTGTGAGTGAGCATCACAGTGGTGTCATTGTGTACCACTGAGCTGCGCCCCACGTTTTGGAAGATTATTAATTAACAGCTGTTGCAATTTGAATAGTGTTCGTGTAATGTATACAAGATGGCGGCCAGGGTTGATTCTGCGTAGTCACTGTTATTATTCGTCTCTGATCCTTTCTTCGAGATGGTGATTAAACCCAGCTTAGGGGTATCCAAAATGCTCCATTGAGAGAATAAGTCGTCACGTGAGTATTGGAGTTAAAATGTTTCCATCAGCACAGATTTTCGGGAAGTTAGGTTTGAGGTTAGGGAATCAGTTTCATTTTGAATATGATTTGCAGCAAACCTCAATCTGAAATATCGCACTTGTAGGCGCTGTAAAGCTGCGGAAGTATGGGGGGGGGCATTATCTCACTTTTCTCCCCAGAAATGGGCGCAGAACACTCCAGTGTTAGATTAGACTTTTCCGCAATGGTAACTCTGTCACAGTTTGCGCTTTTTGGCTGTGACGCCGTGTAGTTTGTCGGAAGTGCACTTGCGCATCTGAGGAAAACGCCGATTTCTTTTTTAAAGTAGCCCAAATCGAGTAATCTCTTCTCTATGCGTGTCTGCTTAATGCTGGTTTCTTGCTTGCCTTACCCTTCGACCCTGAATATTGTGGCAAAATAATTACTCAAAGCATTGGTGTACTTCCACCGAACAACAAGTAAGGTCGTTCTCTTAACTGGTTCTAGTGGTAAGCCTGTGAGACTGTTATTAGATTAGTTGGGGTTCTATCCGAACCATAGTCAAAATTTTGTCACGATTTATGTGTGTGAGTATAGACGGGGTATGGATTGGATTTATTATTGAGACAACTCGGAAATACAAGTACTCGTAATTGCAACATTATAGCTGATCTACGCACTTCACAAATTACTAGCAAACGCTGTCTTCTCAGTCTTTACTAGTCGTGTCCTGGCAACGGATTTCTTAACACTCATTATAACAACATCCTCACTGTAACTGCAGCACACATGAAGCCTTCCTTTCACAGCCACACTCTTACAACTAAGACCTAGCGCACACATGCAATTTTTAGTTGGCCGATAGTTGGACACGTCGCCGAGAAACGTTGAGTTTAATGGGAGCGCGCGCACATCACGATAGTTGTTCCAACAGTCGGTGAGCAGTTGGGCTCTACCTCATCTGCCCCCCGATCCCACTGTTGGTGATAACGCCGGTGTACATGAGCTGCTATGGGAGTGCGCACACATGCAACTTGAAATCGCGCACGATTTGACCTTCAGTCAACAAGTTGTGTCTTTTCCTGCCTGTCTTCGCGCTCGCTCTGGTTCCTCTAGTTGCAACATGTGGGATCAAAGCATCGAAAAGCTTATAGAAGTGGAGAAAAGGCAAGCTCTTTATTTAAAATCGCGCAAAGAATATTCTGATATTAATTATAAGAAGAAGATATGAGGTTTCAGTAGAAGCAACAATCCATCAAAAC